AGCAGCAGCAGCAGCAGCAGCAGCAGCAGCAGCAGCAGCAGCAGCAGCAGCAGCAACATCAGCAGCAGCAGCAGCAGCAACAACTTGAATACTGGCCGGAGACTCGAACATAAGTCAAAGTTTTGCAGGCAGTTGCAGCTGCACTCGTCGTGGCTGCTTGCCACATCAGTGGGGACCCGTTGAGCGAAGGACTGCCGCCCGCTGTTAACTAGGTGAGTGCGGCATATCAAAGGAAATGGCGCAAAAATATGGCACGCGGTAAGCAGTTGACTCAAGTGCAAGTCTGGAGCACTGCTGCGACTCGCTCTTCTTTTCCATTTCTTCAAAATTACTCTTCCCCGTATCCCCCGGCCGCCTCTTCGTATTTTTAGCTTCTTTTTTTGTGCTTTTGGATACTTTTGAACAACTCGCGAAAAGTTTCCGGCATCGCAGCAAATTGAATGCGTGGCCTCTGAGCGCTTTTTGGCATTTCAGCTGCAGATTCACCGCAGCTAAACTCAGGGCTCAGGCGTCTACATATTTTACGTTCGCTATTTGGGATTCGGATTGGGTATTTGGTATTTGGGATTTGGTAAAGCACTTACCCTGCGCCGAGGTACAGGTGGTTAGCTGCGGCGAATATCGATCGGTTAGCCTTTTGATCACATCAATTTGCTCCAGCGTCAGCTGCACTGCATCGCGATGCTGGGCCTCACAGGGCACGTAGGCTGCCCAGAACTGCAAATGAGAGAGGAATGCTTTCGGGTTAATCAGAGTTGAAGAGCTATGAAGTAAGAGCAACGATTTAAGCAGTGCATGTATAAAGTTTTTTCGTATGATTTTGCCTCAACTAGATTTTGTTGCTTCGGAGTTTTCAATTGCTATGCATACAGTTCATAATTTGCTTCAATTATTTTCAAATGAATAAACCAATTTTCAATTTTATTTTCCAAATTGTTTAATGTAATACAAAAATACTCAATATGCTCAATTATTGCAGTAAAATTTTGTATCCATTAATACTCAAGCGTTTACTAGAGGAATTTGTGTGCATAAAACTTTCAATTATTTTACTTAGTTCTATTCTCTGGTCTGGTCTGGTCTGTTCTGGTCTATAAACTACTTTCCAAATATTTGTAAAAATTTACATTTGTTTGTAGTTGTTACACCTGCATTTGTTTATGTATATACATATACATGTATGTATATGTGCCACACTGAAAGAGCAGAAATTGGAGCTGTTATCCATTTATTGCCGCATTTCATTATTTGCTTTAAAATGCCAGGCAATCCAGGGGTGTTAGTTAAGCAGCAAGGGTGCGGGACGGGGTGTGCTGTGGGTGCTCCACAACCGCTCGTAACCAACTAATGACATGTGGCAACAATAGCAGCAGCAGCAGCAGCAACAACAACAACAATGGCAATACAAAATTTTGCAAATACCGTATGTAAACGCTCGTTCGTGCAATCGTAATGAACGCTGTCAGTGTGCAGGTGAGGCACACAGGTGGACACCGGGCCTGGCGGTGCCTGGTCAGCTCTGCAATGGCCGTACAATTAACCCGAATTGAGGCAAATGCTCATGCACTTTTGTCCCCTGATAAGCTGGCAGAGCGAGCATCTACATATGGATGTGTGTATGTATAGCACCCGGAACTAAGCAGAAATAACTGCAAGCCCCGGGGGAGCGGCGCCTAAGAGTTACCATGCAGAATGCAGAAAACAAAGGTGGACCACATAGATAATATGTGGGCGATAAGAGAAATACCCTGTGATTCAATAGGTAAACCTTTATAGGGAAACAAAAAATATAAATAAAATATAAATATAAATAAATATAAATAATAAATATATATAAATAAAATAAAATAAAATGTGTAAATTTTTTTTTTTTTTTATAGATAACTACTTGAAAATAACAAATAATTTTTATGTGTTTTTTTTAAATTTTTTTTTTTATGATTTGCAGTGCCTTATATTGTAGATAAATTGTTTTAAATAAAACTTAAACAAGAAATTTATTCACAGGAAAAAAAAATACTTTTAAGTCTGCAATATTTAAGGAATTAATTCAACAATATTTAATTAAAAGAAGCCTAAAAAAATAATATAAATATTTATGTATATACCATAATTCAATTCAGCTTTAATTCCTTCAAGCTCTCCATTTACCCTTAGATATTTTGGTATTAAATATTTCTGCATTTAAATAACCAAAGCTTGGTATGTCACAGTCCAAGAGCTTAGCCCGCAACAAAAAAAAAAAGTCTCCATTTGTTAACTGTTCATAAAAACTAACTGAAAATCAACAGCAACTGGGAAACGTGCCGGGCCAGCACTGTGGACTGTGGAATCACAATGCTGGATAAACTTTGTTGCTCTGCCGTAAATGGAATTTACCCATGAGCTAACGCTGCACAGTTGCTGAGGAGGAGAGAGGGAGGGGGGCTGGGAGGTGCTGTAAATTTGTTAGTTGTACAATTAAAATTGCAGAAATGTGAAACACATAGACTGAACGACGCGTCGACTGACCTATGCACTTCAAATCCAATTGCTCGGGTAACCTGGTCGAGCTGAACACCTTTAGCCATAGACGCAGCCAGTGCCCCACTACGGTTGTTTCTTAACTCGGCTAAATTGTTTTTCGGCCACAGAACTCATTGTGAGTCGTTTATTGAAAAGTTGGACTCCAAGCTGGCTGGCCAACAGTAAAATTTTCTATATGAATTGCGGCGCTTAAATGTATGCACTCTATCATCATCATCATCATCATCATCGTCATCAGCAGGTAGACAACGATGATGCTTATGGGAATGAGGAATGGCCAACTGGTAAATGAACATTTTTCAGTGTTTCGTTGTTTTGTTTAGCTTTTAATTTAGTGCCCCTGGTATAATTTTTCGGGGCTACGTGCCTGTGTGTACGGGGTTTGCTCTGGTCGAGTCTGGTATGGGGTATGGGGTATGGGGGACCTAGGGTCTGGATAGCTGGGCATTTTTGGCACTCGTCCAGCATACAGCCCCTTACGAATTTATATTAAAAATTATTTATTGCATTTTCTGTGTTGTCAGGTTCTAGTTGTAGTCCTCTTTTTTTGTTCCAGCAAAAAGCCAAAAACTTTTTAATTGCTCTTTCAGTTGTTGTTGTTGTGCCTGTTGTTGTTGTTGTTTTGAATTGTTTTTTGCACTTTGGCTGCTTCCTGTTCGATGGAGACACGTACGTGCCTTCATTTTTCCCTAATGATATAACGTGATCTAATGGCTCGCATACGTTTTACGGCTCTGCTTGCGCAGTTACTGTTTATATACTTCAAAGCTAATGATGTACTGCTATACAGCGCTTTAAAGCCACAATTGAAAGAGAGAGAGAGAGAAAGAGAGAGGGCAATAGCGGGAGATTTTTAATGGATCAAAATATTTGATCCATGGAGCATAGGGCAAAAGTTTCTTAATGTCCTCTGCTTCATTTCGAATATTCTAAGAATTTGTGAAGACAAAAGCTTTGGTTAGTATAAAATTAGAATTCGATATAATTTTTAAAATTGTTTTATCTCTTTCCTCTAAGCATTTCTTTTTTGTTCTGCTGTATATTGATTTCTGTAAAATAATAATTTTATTTCTCAGAACAAGAACTTCTGTTCATTGTTAAACATTTATGAAGTAAATGTCGATTGATATTG